ATTTCAAGCAGCCACCTTACCCATCACGTTCTCCACCAGACAATTAATCCAGTCTAACAGTAAGGATGATATATCACTATTGACCACCTCAATGTGCATTTATCAGTTTACCTGCCCCTTGTGGAGCACGATTTGTTTAATATTTATTTAAGTAGCTTAAAAATCCCCATTGAGTCATATGAAAAAGAGAAGACATTCAGCGAAGAGACTCTTTTCGGCGAATTTATTCACATAGCTGTACAATCGCACTTATATATAATTGTTTGTGTGTGTGTGTGTGCGTACATGAGGTTTGTCAAGTTTAGATAACTAATCAGGTAATTCAAAAAGAATGATCTAATATAGAAACAAGGTTAATTAGACAGCAACTAAAGTAAGATTGTGTCGGTAAGTTAGATGACGTAATATAATTGACTAAAATATTTCAACTTAGGTTGGGACAGCAAAAGAAGTAATTACAGGTAGAGACTGAGTAAAAGTGGGGTAGAGAGTAATGCCATTTAAATTGGGACTAAAGTTGAGCAAATAAGTTAGATGACGTAACATAAATGACGAGGTATTGAGCGTTGGTCAAGTCAGTAACAGTGATAATGAAGTGTAGAAATTAAATCGGGTGGGGGTGGAGAACTGGAACGTTGAAAATGTAAAATATTACAATTGTAAAGACAAAATAATAGTAATGAAGAGACAGAAAGAAATAGAATTTACCTGTCGGGTATTAAGACAGATTACGTCCATTGCAAGTGTAGTGATTGAACGAGTTTCTTCTGTATGCAGAGTTCAGGGCTAAGCAAGTGAATCGCCATTGCTTCTGCAATTTGAAGAATTTTGACTCGTACAGTTTTAGGGAGACTGCTTCGTATTCTGTAGATGACTTTGAAGTTTGTTTTGAGGTGTAGCTTGGTGTCCGGAATCCATCAGATGTTCTAAGATAGAGCTGCGGGGGCATAGTTACGTTTCGATAGCGAAGCCTGGGTACAGCTGACATTTGGCTACACACGAGCAGGTGAATTGGTAGATGCATATTGATGAGACCAGCATTGGTAGCTTATGCTTCACGTTCATAAGAATCATAGGTTTCGTGGAGAAGGTTAATCGTAGTTCCGCTGCGAAGAAAGTTTTCTTAAGTGAGTGGGACAGTCGACTTTTCAGTGTTTCCACAAATGAATCTCCATTTAATTGAAGGTTGGCGTAGAGAAGTTTTTTCGGGATGCTAAGCGTGGGCGGCTTTTGCGGTCTAGGATTCATGGATTTCCCAATAAATCACTCTGGATAACAGTTCTCGACGAGGATTCTCTTCAGATTGTCCAGTTCGTCTTCTATGGCATCCGGGATGCAGATCTTGAGAACTCTGTAGGTGAGTGAACGGATCAGGTTTCGTTTGGTGAATAGGGGTTCCCAACTGTGAAAGTTAGTAAGCTGTCCGTTCCACGTCAACTTTCTGTAAATAAATCTTTGCAGTGTTCCGTCTTGTTCTCGTTTGTTAGTTGAATGTCAAGAAAGGATATTTTGGAGTTAGACTCTTTCTCTAACATGAACCGGATCACGGAGTGGCAGTTGTTAAAGAAATTTAAGATCTTGTCTATATTTTATTCATTGTTGACGATGATAAAGTATCGTCAACGTACCTCTTGGAGAATTCGAAGGTGTGGACCATTTTCTTCAGGCACGTGTTTTCAAGTTTTGCCATGGTAATTCACTTGCTTAGCCCTGAACTCTGCATACAGAAGAAACTCGTTCAATCACTACACTTGCAATGGACGTAATCTGTCTTAATACCCGACAGGTAAATTCTATTTCTTTCTGTCTCTTCATTACTATTATTTTGTCTTTACAATTGTAATATTTTACATTTTCAACGTTCCAGTTCTCCACCCCCACCCGATTTAATTTCTACACTTCATTATCACTGTTACTGACTTGACCAACGCTCAATACCTCGTCATTTATGTTACGTCATCTAACTTATTTGCTCAACTTTAGTCCCAATTTAAATGGCATTACTCTCTACCCCACCTTTACTCAGTCTCTACCTGTAATTACTTCTTTTGCTGTCCCAACCTAAGTTGAAATATTTTAGTCAATTATATTACGTCATCTAACTTACCGACACAATCTTACTTTAGTTGCTGTCTAATTAAACTTGTTTCTATATTAGATCATGCTTGTATTACGTGATTAAGTATCATGAACGCACACATACACATACAAATAATTATATATAAATGTGATTGTACAGCTATGTGAATAAATTCGCCGAAAAGAGTCTCTTCGCTGAATGTCTTCTCTTTTTCATATGACTCAATGGGGATTTTTAAGCTAATTAAATAAATAAATATAAGACAAATCGTGAAGCCGTGTGACTAAAATTGCTATGATTATGAGTGGCAATAATTATTGCTGGAAACCTTGCCATCCCGTTGTTAATACAGCATTATCACTGGGTGATGTTTAAAGCAAATTTATTGATATGATTATGAGCAATAAATTGTGCTCGAAACGTCATCAGTAAATATTAGTGTATAACACTGTGAGACTCTATCAAAATAAAATTTACCCATAATGAAATTTAAAAAACTTCTAATATGGAATACCTTTTCTATTTTATCCAAACATTTATTATTTGTTGTTTATTTTTCGTCTAAACTTGAACTTTCTGTGTATAAATTATACAAGTGTAATTTCTGAGAATTGTTGATTAATTTTGGTCATCCTCAGCTGATGAGAAGTTGATGAAATAAACGACGGTGCCATCTTATATTCTGAACAAATCGTGTTATTTCTGGTTTATTCAAATGCAAACAAATAATACCTGGTACCCGTTACACAAAAGTGGCTCTCGCAGTCTAAGGGATAATTCTTTGGCGTTCGAAATGATTGGTGCAGGATCCCATTGACTGGAATTTAAACTACACTCTACCTATCTGCATCAACGAATGCTAATCTTACACAGATATCCTACATCTAAAGGCGCCACATCACCATAAACTGACTCTACCTTGCAGATTTTTTTTCAGTTCCGTGGCTAGTAAACAGCCGGTGGTATAAGAGCCACTGCGGTGATATTCGCAGCACATGCCCAAGCCACCAAAGCCGGTGCCTTAAGATTACCTTCACAATGTCCGAACACGTTACTGAGACTCAGATTTACTTACAAGCAGCAAATAATTCTATGGAGACGGTGATGGTCAAATATTCAGAGTCGCTGTACATCCTCCGCGATAATTTACTGAATACCAAGTATTCCCACTGATATCCCCGTATGGGGAGTATATTATGACTAACAGCAGTTTGACACTAGTCAACTCACCACTATTAAGTAACTCAATCGTACACTGTACTCAAAAAGCTGACAGATCTAAATGTTTCTCTATAATATTAGGAAGGTGATCTGATAGGAAGAAGCTGAAATCAGCTAAAGCCAACTTAGACCGGCTTAAATCAGCCTGAGCAAATTAAAACACCGGGCTAAAGTAGAATATCCATATTGTGATGTGATTGGACAAACTTGAAGCGAGCACTTATCCAACCGATTAAGTTAATTTAAAGTACGTTTGGTCACGATCCAGCTGATAGGAACCCAGCATAAAGTAGTATATCATCCTTTAGCACGAATTGTGTGATTTATCTTGTGATGGAGTTACTATGTGGATCTATCATTTCTCACGCATATTGTGATTTAGTGTGTGAGATCAATTCATCGTCTTTTGTTTCACCTTGACCTTTATCGGATCACCAACCAATCAGAAGAGACAATTCCAGCCAATAAGAACAGTCCATTCCCACTGTTGTGAGCCGACTGTATTGTGATAAATTAAATATATAAATATGTTTTATTTCCTAATAGATGTATAATACAATATCTAGCAGTCACAGGCCAGCCTTTGTCTTGTGATATTTGCATGGCTCAGTGAATCGGAAGGTACAGCGGACAAATAGACGTATTAGGGTACCAGTCAAGTTCATTACCGTGATAGTAATTAACAGGCGCATACATAACATGGCAAAGTAGCAACGGATTTATTCAGTTCAGTTCACTTATAACATCAACATCAGTTAGAGACCCGACCGATAGCTGCTACCTTGACATGGTGGTCGGGCTTGCATATCTCAATGACCGAACAAGCTACACTGGCTGGAACTGATGTTCCTGCAGGTCCTACCATGCCAGGAAGATAGTTAGGATAGCGATTAGACTAAAAGCAGTTGCCGGCGTAGTGTGAGATTTTTTAATATTATGCTGGGGAACACGGATGTAACAGCAGTAATGTGTTTCCCTCAGACGACCAGCATGTCAGCTATGCTGTACCTCCACTATGGAGACAGCGGGTTAGAAAAGGTCGACCGCAAAAACTGTACATCCCGACTTACCCTACGGTGGTCCGTAGCCGGTGGTAAGTTACTAATACGGAACCAATCGAAAAAGCTAGTTCAAACAGACTGTGTGTGACGGGCCTCAAGCAGTTGTCGGCTGGGCTCAGCAGTCACGCAACACTAAATTCTCTTTCTGCTTCAGGTACTCCAAGATTAAATCAACTTCCACGATGTGTGGGCAGCTGGGAAGTAAAAACCGCCCAAACATTTCTAAAAGCACACAAAGCCCTCCTGATCATATCAGTTAGAGAACCAATGAAAACAAGGGAGCACTAGACAGCCGTTTCGTCCCACTTTGCGATTCTTCAACGATGTGTACCCACGACCCCACTAGGGATTGATCTCATAACGAAATCTATTTTGAATTAATTGATCCAACTATTGGATGGATGTCCTGAATTTGTGACCGGTAGGGTTCACACTACGCCAAGGTCAAGTGGATGTCTCATGGATAGTACTGACAGGTTGGCAGTACCGCTATATCACGAATTGACAGAGGTTAGAATTCACACATTCTCGAATGAATGAATGAGAACAACTAAAACAATATCCGACAAGCAACATAATAAACTTATAAGTACATGAAAGTAAATGTCCAATAGAAACAAGGAATTTAAATACATTACCTGTTAAGACAATCTTTCCAGAGACAAAGACAAGTAGGACAATTTTCGGTTTAGTCATCCGATAAATTAGACCAGGGAATAGTTCTGGTTCATAGCTAAACACCAAGAAGAAAAAATTAATTAAGTGCACAATAATCTTCTGAATAGCCAGTCTTCATTACACATTTTAAAGCTAAATACAAAATTAATAAACTAATTAATGAGTACCAAATAAAAAGGGGTTGTATAAATGGGATAAGTATAACCACTTAAGAAGTAAGTTAGAGAGGGAGAGAGAGAAACACGAAGTGATATCAGCTATTTCAGCAACTGTTCCATCCCACGCAACCATTACTTTGCCTTCAAGGATCGAACCTAGGAACAATATTTGTAAGTCCGAGGTCAAATTTTGATCACAGTCCATACAATTTTTGTTTATTATACATGTTGATACCTGTGTTCATGACTCATGATTGGACAAAGTTTTTAAAAACAATAGATATTCCTTTTATGTATAAACTTCTGCTATGTTAATTTCGATTAATTTCCCTGAAGAAATTCGGACCAGATTGACGAACGAAACGTTGGAATTACTCATTTCAATCTCTCTGAGATTGTACAAATATAATTTTTACAAATGTTTACTAGTGTGGTGAGAGATGGTTGCTAGCCAAATTGGTTGACAGTAATTGAGGTCAATGTTAGTCAGGTGAGAACAGGGTCAAGATGGACAGGCGGATACAGTTAACATATAGATGAAGTGACACAGCCACAAGAGATGAAAGGTTAACTTTGTGTGAGAAACAACCAATCAACAGACTGTATTTTCTACTAACATTAACCTACAATTATGTACATCAAAATCTATAAATATGTGTTGATTCTCTGTAATAAACGTTCTGTTGCCTGACCCTTGTCTTCTGTTGTTACACTAGGACCTTTAGGTTACGAAGCAAGTCCGTGGACTATTCATTCAACCACTGGGGAAAGAATCGTATAGTCATCAATCAGAGAACCAATGAAAATCAAGGAGTAATAGGTAGAGAGCTGTATCATCTTCTTATTTTAAGATTTTCCATCAGTACCCAGCCATTATTGATATAAGCATAGAACTTGAGCACTGTGGTAGAGTATAACTCTATTATGGATAAGATTTTATTTTGATAAATCACACACTGTTGTTATACAGTATTATTATAGTCTGGCTGGTCCTATTCAGGTAGGTAGTTACCTGGTGTTCTTGTGGGAAGTCGTGACCAGTAGGGTGCAATAGGTCGGGTGAGAGGACAAATACTCGCCGAAGACATTGGCTAGCGGATGCGCTATATCGCAAATTGGTAGAAGTTGGAATTCATGCACTGGCCATTGGATAGGGTCCCAGTGGCTTAATGGTCTACAAGCTCCCCTTGTAACCAGAAGGTCCTGGGTTTAAAACCCAGTGAGTGCGTACTGATGAAGAGTCCCAAACTAGGACGAAATAGCCATAACCAGTAAAATTAACTGATTACCACATTTCGAGCACAAACTATTGCTGCTCATAGTCACATCAAGTCACTAACTCACACAACCATTTTCCTTCATTTATTATATTTTTTATAGTCATTTATGTTGCTTGACTGAATGCAAATACCACAGATATGCATGGAAGATGTTATTACCACCAATCAGTCAGTCAGATCATAGGAAGATAATAAATAATCTCAAAATTCTATTTCAATTCACCCACATCATAACATTCTAACAAGTTACTTACCTATTTTGACTATAAAAACACTCGTCTTATTTCCCATCTGATTGTATTTAATCGATCACAGTCATATTATTATTTCTGAATGTACATTATCCTATATTGGTTGATTTTTATTCAAATGTCTAATCATCAATTCCACTCATGTATATAAATGAAGCAAGAAAGTTGTGTGAGTGGCTTGATATGATTGTGAGCAGGAATATTTTGTGCTCGAAATGTTGTCATCAGTTAATATAACTGTATCTATAATGGAGTTACCCAGCCATTACTCTACCGCCATGAACCAAACCAAACACCTTCAAGTAATAAAGGGTGGACCGCCTGTTGACCATTCACCCACTGAGATAGAATCCAATGGCCTATGCAAATTGGTGATATATATATATATATATATATGTATATATATATATAAGTCCACCACCAGCCAATGTCAAAGACGCGTATTTAGCCTTGATGAAACTTCTCACTAGAACCACAGATAACTTCAGCTTGTAGTCAGTCCCTAGGGAACACTGGATTAATTTCCAAGTGTTGGTTTCAACAAATTTGATTGGTTTTCAGTTAGATCCCAACATAACATTGATTAGAAAACCACTAAAATCCATGGAGCACTTACTGAACAGCTGTTTTGTCCTAATTTGGGACCGATGTATAGCGAGCGCTACATCCATCCAAAGTGATCGGAGGGTATTTATCATTATACCCGACTTGGTGAACCCAAAAAAAAATATCAAAATAAGACGAAATACCAGTTCACTAGTAGCTGATTATTAATGGTTCCCTATCTGATGTCAGTTCGTGATACAACTTGAAACAAGTCAAATGCTTCCAAACTAACACCTCTTAACGATAAATATTCCCTAATTTACGAATATTTATTATTTTAACAATCAGTTCAATGTTACTCTTTTAGTCAAGAACATCGAGGTTATAGCAAAGCATACTTTATCCGCACATTACGGGCGTCGGTGGCACAGCAGTAGAATGCTCGCCGACCATGTATGTGATCTAGTGTTCGATCCTCGGTAAAGAGGGAAGGTTGCGCATGAGACTAGCATTTCCATCCCGTATAAAAAATAAACATCACTGCTACCGAAACTTCAGGCCTCTAGCTTGAAGCCCTATGTTCCACTGGGAACGTAAAGGAATGGAAAAATAAGTTGAATCATAGGAATTATTAAAAGACGGTTGCAGCAAAGAAAATTTTCTTTCCGAAGTCATCGACTAGGCTGTACATTCGTGCGTTTATAGTAAATGTGAGAGAAAGTTCTAGAAACATTTCAGGTCAAAGGTCAAATCGATAAGGTTACAAAGTGTAATAATCAGGAAGATCGGGTAGAAAAGAAATAATAAAACCATAATTACTGAAAAACTTGATTGTTTGTACAATTATCGATTAAGGATGTGGTAATAACAGGACAGTTAGGAAGTTCGGACATATATAAAAATAAAAAACAGCAACCGAATCTAGTAATGCAGATAGGAATTAAAAACGTAACAGTGACAGAAATAAATAGGAAGGATGGACAAGAAAGGTAATTGGATAATCATTATTGGTGGGACTGAATTTTCATGATGGCCATGGTGGGGACAACGGTTGGAAGTATATCTTCGAACACATAGTGTGGGCATGAGTTTTTGGATCGCCAGCGCCTCAACTATTCCTGGATGCCTTGATTTTACTCCCTTTAGTAGGTTTGATCGAATATTGTATATGACTGTGAAGGACTTTTCAAATGGAGTTAAATGTCCAGAATTCACCAGACGAGCTCTGTTACCGTACTACATACTCCTTTGCTTTCTCTTTCCGCCAACCATGTTGCATAGTGTTCCCGAGCACGTTTTACAATCGGACACATGGTACGGCTAATGTACTCGGCTCCACATGAGCAAGTTAACTAGTATATATGCATGTTGGAGTGGCCTAATGAGGTAGCTTGTCTTTTAAGTGCTGGTTAAATATTTTCCCACAAGAAAATGTTACTCATAACATGGCCGCGAAGTATGTTTTACTGAGAGTCTTTGAAAGCTATCTACGGAGAAGTTCTGCTTCGGTATCATCTTTGAATTCGAGGTTAAGTATCAACATCTTCGGGGGGGGGAGGAATTGAACCTTCTCAGACGTTTTCTTTGGTTTTAGATTCTTATCTATGAATCTGAGTGGAAAGCCATTTTCTATCAAGGTCCCTCGGAGATTTAGCAATTCTTCGTCAATTGATTCCTCAGTGCAAATTTTCTGGATCCTCGAGGAAAGAGAGAATATTAGGTTTCTCTTTCTGCTTAGAAACACATAACTTTGAAAGTTGATAAACTGCCCGTTCCATGTGGGTTTTTTTGTAGATAGATCTTCTCAGTGAGTTGTCAGCATTCCTTCGCAGTTGAACATCGAAGAAATGAAACATGGAGTCAGACTAAACTTCCAGAGTGAAGTCGATGTTTGGGTACTTTACTTTACTTTACTTGGGCTATCTCCTACGAGAGGATGAGCCGGCTTCATGAACATCTCGAATCATCGCTGCCCAGACGCGGCGATCTGATGCAAGGTTTTGCGACAGGGTTATCCAATTCTTCTTCCACAGACGGAGTCCGTAGACGGTTTGTAGCCCCAGGCACTCCATATCAGCCTTGACTGTATCAAGCCATGTTTTCAGCTGTCCACCCCTGCGACATCGCCAAGATGGTAATGGCGATGGATTTAGAACTGATTTGAGCAGGTCATCATCTGGTCGGCGCAGAACATGGCCAAACCACCGAAGGCGACGTTGTTGGACCAGTACTGGAATTTGGTTGGTGTTGTAGCAACGACGACACACTTCTTCGTTGGAGAGTTTGTCCTGCCAACGAACATGCAGAATGTACCTGAGGCACCAATGGTCTACTACCTCAAGTCTGCGTACATCTTCCGCGCGAAGAGGCCAGGTTTCACAGCCATACAGGAGAACGGATCGTATGGAGGCTTGGTAAACCCGAATTTTAGTCCTGAGACTGATTTCCCTCTTGCTCCATAGAACGCTTCTCAGCTGAAGAAACGCATTCCGGGCGTTGGAGATCCGCGCATTCACTTCGTTTTTCGCTTGACCGTTGGGAAGCATTATGGATCCCAGATATCTGAAGGATGGTACAATTTCAATAGGTGCTCCATTCAGGTATAAGATTTCATCATTGCTGGTGGGTGTGTTCGAAAACATTTTGGTTTTGGAAGTGTTGATTTCCAAACCGATGGTAGACGCGAGGTGGTTTATCTGATCGAACGCCTGTTGCATATCGGGGAATTTTTCAGCTAGTAACACGACGTCGTCGGCAAATTCGAGGTCGGTTATGTGAATATCGGGCGAAAGTTGGACGCCATGGTGCTCGGTTAGGGCG